CAGCTGTTAAAAGTTGCCCCATACTTCACTTCAGTGTTGTGAAGTATTTCCTCCGAGAAAAACTTGTTCGAGCCCAACTGAGACCAATAATGACAGATAAAACAGGTCAGTCTGCACCATGGTCATTTTAATTTTTCTGTAGTCTTTACTAAAATTATCAAACGTTTTATTAAAAGGGGTTATTACTAATTTAAGACATACCGCATGCTTAGTGTTCAACCCTTACAGTTGGACGCTACGCTTTCCTCTTTTAATTACATCTGACGGACCAAGTGGGAGACTATGGTGGACAGTTCTTAAAGCCCTTTGGGACTGAATTGTCTTAATGTTCGTCTTCTGGCTTTCTTCGTCGGGCCCTTGTAGGTGACCACATAATTAATTAATGATAAACTAATTTCCCTTATTCAGAAAACCTTTGCACGGGAAAAAGTTACATTTCTTGCATGTAACTCTCAAAAAGCCTTCTTTACAAACTGTATTGTTAAACAATATACTATGTGGACCTGTGACGAAGTTTGTAGAGCACTCTCTTTTCTTTTAGACAATATTTATGTCAGGTTTGGTAATACCCTATTCAAGCAAATCATAGGAATTCCTATGGGTACTAATTGTGCACCCCTGGTCGCCGATTTGTTTTTGTATTGCTATGAAAGAGATTTTATGTTAAGTCTCTCTGAAAATACACAACAAGATGTTATATCAGCATTTAATAACACTTCCAGATACCTTGATGACATTTTTAATTTAGATAATTCTTTTTTTGATCAAATGGTGTCTAATATTTATCCTACGGAGCTACAACTTAATAAAACGAATTCTTGAAATTTAACTACATCATTTTTGGATCTTCATATCACTATCAAAAACAATTCGATTCACACGAAAATTTATGATAAAAGAGATGACTTTGATTAAAGTATAGTAAATTATCCTCATTTGGATGGAGATGTACCGCACGCAACATCTTACGGGGTTTATATATCTCAGTTAATTAGATTTGCTAGAGCTTGTAGCAACGTAAAGGATTTTAACGAGCGAAATATTTTCATTACCGGTAAGCTTCTAAAACAGGGCTACCGCTATTATAAATTACGTAAATATTTTACAAAATTTTACAATCGTAACTTTGATTTAATTTCAAAATTCAATAGTGATCTAAAAACACTTCTGCGACAAGGGATTAGCCAGCCTGATTTTTACGGTGATGTGGTTTACAAACTTCGTAAGATCTTGGGTCATTGTAATTTTTCTGTTGTGTTTACTAAAATTATAAAACGTTTTATTAAAAGGGGTTATGACCCTACTATTTTAAGACATACTGCATGCTTAGTGTTCAACCAATTTACAGTTGGACACTACGCTTTCCTCTTTTGATTACATCTGACGGGCCAAGTGGGAGACTATATGATGGACAGTTCTTAAAGCCCTTTGGGACTGCCCAACACGGCAAAATTGAAAATGTTGCAGGCTCGGTTTGATTGAGCCTGTTCATGGACGGTACTGGAAAGTGCAAGTTACCGTCCACGCCCCCTAGCACCGGCTTAAGCAGAATTCAACATTTAAACGTGACATAGTAAAATTTTGAATTTAGAAACATCCGCAGATGTGTTCATACGGCGGTTATCATGGAACCTTCAATGTGACACTTCCGTGCCATTCCATGAAAAGCGGCGTATGGTCCCCAAGTAATAAAAAGCGTGTGCCCTAAACGAGAAAACAATGGGCGGAACTAAATAAAATGGAATTTTGAAAGGGGATCAGAGGTTATGAAGCCTGCGTATCACAGATAAGACGTCAAAAGACAAATTTAAAAAGCAGGCAACATATCCTAAGGGTGATTCAACATTATTCAAGTAGGAATATTGGAACCACCCAACTAGAAAATGCCGAAAAGTTGAAACTAAAAATACCACAAGCACAACAATAATGTCGTGCTGAACGATCTTCAAGGATCGAAAATATAACAGAAGAAGAAGAAGAAATAGTTTATTTCGGTAACTTATACATTTACAGTATCTCGTTACATACAATAATTACAAATATAATAATTCTGTGGTCACATGACAAAAGCAAAGAAAAAAATAATAAGAAGAATATAAAAAGTTTTAACTGATGACATTCTAACGGAGAACAGACAGCTGCAAATAAAGGAACAAAAAAAAACATCACAATTTCATTCTCATTCATAGAAATAAAAAAGTTCCAGTAAGAAGAAAAACACCAACAACAGAAAAGACGTGACAATAACAGTGTCAAAAGTATAATATTACATGTATCTTTCTAACGATAATAAGGATAATAAGTTGAACCAATTAACATTTCAAAATGTGTTATGAATTAACAACGGATAGTAACAATTCTTGTCGCTTTTTATTAGCTACATCTATATATTTTCCTAAATTTACAAGTATAGCTTTATTATCTGATTGAAGTAAATCTACTAATTTATACATAGAAGGTCTAATATAGTAATAACGCTTGATAAATCTTCTTCGAATATCTTGATAACATGGACAAACTAAAATAAAATGATACTCATCTTCAATTTCTGGTAAGTTACATAATTGGCATAATCTTTCATTTCTTTGAGTTCTATTACGTCCGTATCTACCGGTTTCAATCCTTAATTAAGTTATGAGCAGATATTCTAATTCTACAAATATTCATACGTATACCTTTACAATAAATATTTCTTAAATAAGGTTCAAAACAAAAGTCTTTTTTGATATAACTATACAAAGTGTTTAGTACAATATTGTTTTCTATGTCTGAATGCCATTTTTGCCTAAAACAATCAATAACTCTTTGCTTAAATTCAGATAAAAAGAAACTACTTTTGATATTTATTGGGTTGTCCCAAACATAAGAAAAGCCAAATTCATTTAATAAGGATTTTACATTTTGAGCCCAATTATTTACACCAGTCAAACTATTGCTTACTGTATATCTATAAATTTCTTTCAGTATAATATTATCCGTATTGACAAGCTTAAGCCAAAATTTAATGATTTGTACGTATCTGTTGATATCTAAGGGGTATCTACCTAATTCGCCATACACTGCATTATTACTAGCACATTGTTTTACTCCTAATATTGATTTGCAAAACTTAAGGTGTACCCTTTCTATATCTTTAGATTTAGTAAAACCCCAAACCGGACACGCATAATTAAGTATTGAGCCAACAAAGGCATCAAATAATTGTAGTGAAACACGAGGATTTAAATGAAATTTGTTTATCTTATTCAATAAAATGCTCATAGCTTTTAAACCTTTCCCTACTAAGCACTGCGTATTTAAAACAAAAGAACCTGTATAATTAAAAACAACCCCTAGATAATTAAAATCGTTAACAACTTCAATATGTTTACCATTATAATACCATTTTTCACTTAATTTGACCTGTCCCCTTTTACGGAAAACAACAATTTTGGTTTTATCCGTATTGACCTCAAGTCCCCATTTATTGCAATAATCATACAAGGTATTTAGCGATTTTTGTAAGTCTTCTTGTGATCTGCCAACTATCACCATATCATCGGCAAATAATAAAACAATAATACATAATTCATAAATATTGAGACCACAATCCATTCGGTTTTGTAAAAATAATTCAAGATCCTCTAAAAATAATGCGAAAAGTGCCGGAGAATTATTTTGTCCCTGCCTTAAACCTAACGATATATTGAAGAAGTCAGAAAATGTATTACAATGTTTTACACAAGATTTTACAACTGAATACATAGCTTTAAATATATTTAAAATTTTACCATCCAAGCCCATCTTAAATAATTTATACCATAGCGCGTTTATATACACAGAGTCAAACGCTTTTTTAAGATCGACAAAAGCGCACGGAAATCTTTTATTTTCAGATAACATATGTTGTACTAAATTATGTAAAACAAAAATTGCATCCACAGTGCTGAGCCCTTTTCTAAAACCGAACTGGGCGTCTGATAACATATTATTATCATCAAACCATTTTTCTACCCTTGAAGTTAAAATACTAGTAAATAATTTACCAAAATTGCTGATTAATGTTATACCCCTGTAATTATTTACATTTCTATTATCCCCCTTTTTATGCAAAGGTACAATAAAACCTTGCGTCCACAATTCTGGAAAATAACCTGCGTTAAAAACAATATTAAGGTCTTAGACCCATCATTGACATATCTTAGAACCTATGGAATGTTAATATTTATTGAATCTATGCTACATGCCTGACATGTTTGCAAATTTTCATTGACTTTTACCATCTAATAAGAAAATTATGACCAAGTGTATGTTTTCGGCCTTTCCCTTTCTGGATCGTGTAAAATTTGCCAGAGTTGAACTATAGAAATGAGCTTATTTTCAACAGATATTGCAAAAACATTAGAAATTTGGTACCAAATTGTAGTACATTTATTATATTATCAAAATAAAATATAATTTGAGTAACAGTATTTGCAATAAAACTTATGAAAACAAAAATATGTTACCATTGTCACTCGGAAAATGGCCAAATCGTGAAAATGTAGACTTGTACTTCAATTTTTCTAAGAATTTTCTATAACCTACTTACAAGGTCCAGCCAATTGAAATACATAGAAATTATCTAACATACCATATGAGAAAAATAAGAAAAGAAAGACATCATTTACCATGTTGTTTGTAAAATATACAGCATTATATTTGACAACCCCATAAACTGATTTTGGCCATTTTTCATCAACAGTACACATTTCTTTATGTAAAATTCAAAATACATTTTGAAAAGTATCAAACATTCTCAAAATGACCTAATTATTATGAAGCTATATTCTAAGCATTCTATAAATATGTTAATTACTGTATATACTGAGTAAATGTAAAAATTGTCAACTTGAAATGGATCTCAACGTATTGTTCTGACTTTAGAAAGAGCACGAGCAGTGTACTAAACTGTATTATTCCCAAAGTATCCCCTCTGGAGCAATACAGAAGTATATCATATAAAAATGCTATGTCATACACTAATTCCTTGAAAAATACTGTGCAAGGGCAGGGATAACAGTTTCTAATGTTCTTTTAGTATTAGTTACTCGTGGCTGACCGTCACAGTTCTTCATCACGAAAATGTTCCGAAGACCATCTTCGCCTTGGCGCTTAAAGATGCACCTTAGATGTTGTAGGTTCAAGCCGGACGCAGCAATATTCTCGGCTGTAGTTAACTTACACACACTATTATAAATCAATACTCTAAGTGAAGGCAAATTCTTTGCTTTTTCCCGACTGCACAACTGGGAATTGTACACAGATTTTGTTGAAAATGTGTGTGGCAGCAGATCAACAGATAATATGTCCAAGTGGTGAATAAGTTTACCAAGAATCGAGACATCTTCTGAAGCATTATGAGCACAGTATGAAGCTCCCAATAGATCCTTTGCAAGGTCTTCCTGTTTGTAAGACTTCCTGTTTGGGTATGCTTTTCTAAATATAGACAGTGAATCCGCACATCCAGCAACACACTTACACATTCTGTCCCTCAATCCTACATTGTCACATGCCGTCAACAAAACAGGAAAGTCAAATCTTCTGCCATTATGCGCAACCAATACAACATTCTGAAATTTTTCTAACCAATCACAATATGATTTCAAAGCTTCATATATGGAATAAGCCTCTACATTAGTTCCATTGTACTGCATCTTGTGATCCACCATTCTTAGGCCGGTCACTTCTTGTGCCTTGTCAGATATGGGCAATGTAGGTAGAACATACATATTGAAAGCTTTCCCACTTTTAGGTTCTGTGGCAGCAACCTGGGTAATATGTGGGATCTGGCCATCGTGTACTGAAACAAACAACACAATTATTTATAAATAAATAAACAATTTTGAGCTGTTTTATGTGCTCTTATAAATAATCTGAGATCTTATTCTAATTCAGCTTGTTCCAAATAAGGATAAACCATTCCTGATATAGCATATTTTTTTACAATTATATTTTAAGAGACGACTAATCACTCAACCTAATATCGAAGGACGATAACCTAAAATGAAAGCAACTGTGTTACAGTTTTCACATGATATATATCAACAAATTCGAATACAGGTCTACTTACTAAGGCCAGTTGTCTCCAGGTCAAAAGCAATGTATGTAGGCTGTCCTGTTGGCAGAACTATAGGTTTGAAGTCACCACGAGGGACTGGATCTGGCAGCTTTTGGATGTCAGCATCATCTGAATGCCCAATCTCTGAAATACAAATATATAGATTAGAATATAACCTATAAAAGTAAACAAAAGGTAATTTGCAAACTTTGTTTTAGTAATGTTTATATTTACAAGAAATGATGTTCGAAGAAGGAAAAGAAGAAGGAAAACACCAGTACCTGCAAGACTAACAGTATTTTGTCAAAATACATGAGCCGTGTCATGACAAAACCAACATAATGGGTTTGCAACCAGCATGGATCCAGACCAGCCCATGCTGTTCGCTATCAGTTTCTCTACTTGTAATAGAGTTGGAAAGCAAACAGCATTGCTCCTGATCAGACTGCATGGATGCGCAGGCTGATCTGGATCCATGCTGGTCGCAAACCCATTATGTTGGTTTTGTCGTGACACGGCTCATATGTTTGTTCTGTAAGTAAAAAAAAAACAGCACAAATCACTTTACCTACCTGACTGATAGGACATGCCTTCAAGAGCTTCTTGAGCACCTTGTGTTATTGACCGCTCTTGTTTTAGTTGAAGTCGCCGCCGCTTAGTCGATGGCAGTGCCGATCTTTCCTGGACACGCTTCCTATGCTTCTGGCATTTATCTGCATATCTGAGGCTGTGGACACCAGGGGAAAGACCTGCCTCGGAGTGTACCTGAAAGCAGTAATCAGATTATTTAGCACACTTTAAAATGAAATATTCAGTCAAACATGGATATTGTAAGAAAATAATTTTCTTGATCTATATATAAACCCAGGCAAAAATAATTCAGATAAAATGGGAACTATTCATAACTCTTTACTATTGTTGAGGAAAACTGCATTATGATTTTTGTAAAAGTAACACCATTATTCAATAAAGTTTGCTTTTCACACCAACAATTTATACATTCCATTAAGGTGCATATTGGTCTATAAGCAATATTTTTCTTCATTATCACTCAACATTTTCAACAGCAATTGCTTATATCTTTATATAAAAGTCATCTTGTGGATTGTTTGTCTCATAAAACTGACTGGCATACAGGTCCTATCTGCACAAAGCATAACAGAAAATTTAATGACAATCTTTCCAAAGTTCTAGATAATAGAGTATTTACCTTATGATCATCACCTGTCAACATCTTGTTCCTTGAATAATAACAGTGCTGAACTGGAACAGCTGAACAAAAACAACAAACTTCAATAAACAATTAACATCAATCAACCGTCAAACAAACATTCCAACATAATTTTGGCAATACATCCAACTAAATACACTTCCATGAAAATTATTCTTTTTTTTTTCAAAGGCTTCAACAATCTGAAAGAGACTATTTTCTCTTTCTCAAATATAAATCAATGCTTATTACTTTATGAATGTTCTTTATTTTTCGAGTGATGGTTGAAGTTTGCCAAAATTATGCATGAAAAATTCACAAATATATGTAATACTGAAAACAATTAATACCAAGGAAACAGGGTCTCCAGAACTAGTATACCACAAATGAAAGGTTGTTATGACTTTCTTAATTGTTGTTCAAAACTATGTCTGTACTGGTTTATTTGTAAATAAAATAACAAGCAAACTAAACAGAACAAACTTAAACAGTAACAAGATATGTACCTTTGAAATGTAGTGACGCCCTTCATTGATGAATGCTGCTGTGGCTTTCACTCTAAAATCCAAAGATTCTGAATTCCCATAACGAAGGGACTTTGGAGCCCTCATGGTGACCTCTCTGTTGGCATGCTCGCACTGCTGACTCGAACCTAGGTCTGCGAGCTGGGGAGCCTTCATCACAACTGGTTCAAACAGTTTTTCTAGCTGAGATCTAAGGTGGTCGTCTTTAAGCGGTCCTTTGTAGGGCAGGCTTCTGTGTGAGTATTTAACACTGCGGTCACGCTTGTACCCACACCATCGAGGCTGGCACATTGTGTGGTCTGCGAATTGATGAGGTACTAAAGCTTTCAGATTTTCTTCTAGTCCCTTTGGATCACCTTGATTCTTTGCTAGAATATACTTCACACATTTCTGAATGTGTAAGATCACTAACTTACTGAGCTTTGTGCTTTTGTCCGCCTGAAGAGCATATAGCTTCTTTCCAATGTTTTTCACTATATGATTTCTGTCAAATTTCTTTTTCAAGCTAATGTTTGATTTGGATTTCAGACGAGCTATCATGGTGTTATCTCCATCGCCTTCAATCACTTCCACAGGGGTTCCGTCCTTGTGTAGCTCACATACACCCCGCTCACCCGATACACTTTCCATAAGCCTGGCACTTCCTGTGTGATCATGAACACAACGATGATTTCGTACTGCCTCTGAAGGTCTATTTCTTTTCCACCATTTGCAAACTCCGCATGTCCGATGACTAACGACTGCTTTCACTACTTTCTTTCCATACTGTGCCTTGCTCATGAAGAAGGTGTGAGCTGTAAAATTAACATATGAACAACTAATGACATCTGTGTATCATTTTGCTTTCTGTTGGAAAACTTAAACATCTATTTACAAAAAGCAACAATAAATACTAGAACCCACCATGAAAAAAAAATCTGGAAACAAAGTGATCCCTTGGAAGCATTAATCACAACAAAATTACATGAGAATTCACATTCCAAGATGGTAGTCTTCTCAGAGCAAACACTTAATCAAAACATTGCCTACTCTCTCTCTCTATCTCTATCCCCTCATACACAATCACAACAAACTAAGTACATTTCGATTGCAAATTGCCTTAACGGTTAAAATTTTGTATGTGTTTAGACACTCTTCACTACTGCTGGTGTTGCGATTAAACTGGTAAGTTAGTTTATAACTTATTACTTACAAGTCAAGCTGTCAAAGCCACGTTTGTGCCAGGCAGTATCTACCGCACAAGACATTCCTGTTCTAGAGTGACAAGGGAACTTCGATGCCAGACAAACTCGACTTGATGGTGTTTTCTGTGCCCGAGACAGCATTGGATGTTTTTTTTTATGTTTTCTAACTTGATAACGTCTCCTGTAATATGCAGAAGAAATATGCACACTTTACAATTAACACCACTAAGTAATTTTTGAGAGACAAAAGCTTTCCTTATTTTATCAGAATGTGGGTCAGAATATTAACGCTTTACATGTTGGGAAAAAAATGTTGTCTGCTAAATGTTGTCTGGTATATGTATTTTTGGCCATTTTTCTTAACAATTGGTACAAATAGTGTCTGATTGGCTTGGAACCTGTCCAGATGCTGATTTAATTGGCATCTGCATTAATTCCAATCAGTTTGCAAAGGCCTGTGTCCTTTTTAGTAAGGTTCACTTCATGATTTGACAGACAGTTTACAATATTAGTACTCTTTTTTGTACCTTTTCAAAGCGGAGGAGAGTCTCACATTATCAGTTTCATCATTATCCTCATCTACATCAGTCCAATCATCATCCACCTGGTTGTCAGGTTGTAACATCAATCTAGCGAGTAAAGAAAAATAATAAGCAAAATTCTGTGAGAACTATATATAAGAATGGAATGAACAGTAAACTTGTAAATAAAATACTTTCAGCTGTGAAAATTTATAAATTATAGATCTGTTATGCTCCTGCTTATGATAATGGATATCTTTATAAATGCTATATGACTGTAAATAGACTTACTTTAGTTTAGGGGAGACATCTGGAAGTGGACATACACCAAGATCTTCGATAAGGCCTTCCATCCTGTCAGCAGCTCTCTTGGACTCAGCTTCAGCCACTTCCCTGAAATATAAATGCTATCTTGACCGTGTGTAAACAAAAACATTTTAATGTTATGTGTCAGGGTTCGAAATGCCCGGATTCTTCGAACCCTGTCATCTTTATAGTTAATTGATTATGATGGTATTTATACAATTATAGTACAATAATAGTATTTTTAAAATGTACAGCCAGACTGTTCATCTAACCATCATTCATGGGAAAATCCAGTTCAATACAAAGAAAACAAGCATTATAGCTTGGCATTCCCAGAGCAAATCATCATTCAATATCCACATTTTCATTGACCATGTAAATGAACAATTTAGAAATTGTTGATGCAAGCAATTATCTGAATCTTACTTCATTTCTTGATGGAAGGCATCCTTGGCTGCCTCACGAGTTGACATGTCGGCCACATGTTCAACAATGTTTCCAGCCCGTCTCTCCATGGTCTTTAGGTTTTTGTTACTAATCGGCTTCAGGTTCAATGCAGCCAGAAAGTTATTTACACGTACGGGCCCACCTAAACTGTCGATCATTGCTAAAAATACCAAACAATAGAAGCAATGAAGCAAAATGTTTGATTGAAACCATTTACATCTAAATCTTATCATTAAAATTGGCATATATTATATGTATTGATGTAACATCCACGAATGGTCACATGAATGGTCACAGCAGTACGCTCGACCTATTATTGTTATTCGGTATTTGAAAGGATAATGCCACAGTTTTTATGTATGTATTGCAGCATAAGTGTTAGTACATGTGCAATATGAATACAGCTTACTTACAGTAAAATGTGTTACAGGTTTATTTACACATAAATTTGTAAATGATCACTGCTGATAGTGATATATGTCATCATAAACAGCTGGAAATTTAATAAGTTCTTGTAGTTCGTGACAAATAAAGCTGGGGGGAGTGTAACAGTACAGAGAAATCACTTACAGATGGGATTTAGACATGATGTATGATGTGACGGTGCAGTTTACTTCTAAAATTGATTGATTACAGAAAAAAAAACTGTCAATGTATTTATACACTGGTATCATATACAATATAACAATAGCTGTATACGTGTTTTTTTTTTATTTATTTA